AACAATACAAGTACTTGCAACGCGGGGGTTGTGGTCAATGGTTAGGTAGTGACACCAGCACCAATGATGCCAGATGAAGTTAAAGCCTCAGCTTCAGGTGACAGCTCAACCACTTCCTGTGTTGGAGATGTCCTTCAAGAGAGTGACATGTTAGAAGCAAGAGTAGGACCAACAGCTCACATTCTGGCCTCTTCGGTAGCAACTTCTTGTGACAGAGGCACTTAAAAGCCCCCAGTACGTAAAGTACCCTACAAAGAGTTGTCCGACTGGGCACAAAGGCTTGTAAGGGCTGACTTCATTGGGTTGATGAGAGATGAAGTAATGAAAACTGCTCATTTTGTGCCAGATAATAAGTTACAATTTATGAATGTATTACTTCAAAACAACAACATCTGTTCAGTATTTGGGCTTGATGTGGATAATCAAGACATTTGCAGTAACCCCACCATACAATCTCTTGTAAAAGAGTGCAGAGCTTGTAAGGACCAAAAAAAGAAAAGAGAAGTGAGAAGAAGGTCCTTGAAACAAACAAGCAAAATTTGCATTGGTAATGCGCTTAAGGATTTACGTGTAACTCTAACAGGTGAAAAAACACCAGAGCACTTCAAGGACATGCACTGGAAAACTTAACCCATTTAGTTGGTAAAATCTCAGTAAATCTCTATATCTTCCTTGTAAACTGCAATGTCTATAAACGTGCACACTTACAGACATTTTACAAGCGCTACAAAATGTCTGTAGATTTAACCACATTTTAAGTGACTAGATCGCATAAAATGTCTGTGAAATGCTCATGTTTTCCTTGTAAATTTTGAGCGTAATTTACAGAGATTTTACAACCAAAATAAAATATTGTAAAATCTCTGTGGATATTGATACTTGTATTAATATAAATCTAGACCACCGTCCGACGTTCGCACGGGGGGCCTGGCGGGTCTTTTGGTCATAGGTAAAGTACACCAGTTTAGTAAAATTACTACAACCCAGCAGTAGTCACAAGATTTTTAGTAACCAATCATTATGCAACAAGTCTAAAGCGTAGCAATTCTTAGAGCTGGGACACCTAGGGCTATGCGCATTTTAGTCTTTGCAAGCAGGCAAGCACTTCTATCTAGCAAGCTTCTTTTAGCTTTTCAAGTAATTTTCTTTTGATCATGGCAACTGCTTCAGACCTCAAGGCAGATCACAGAGTCGTTAAATGTCCAGGGTGTAAAATGCCTAGCGAAGATCACCATTGGGGTATTCCCTCAAAGTTTTGCGAGGGGTTCGAGAAATCCTCGCCTAAAAAGGAAATGGAAACTTCACCTACGAGCGAAACAGTTTTCTCCGCCTAGGCAGCTGAGTTAGAGTCCTTAGAACTGGAAGAAGAAGAATTGCAGCGTCAGGAGGAAGAGTCAAAATTGTGGAAACGGATAGCGGATAAGTGAAAGCTCATCGAGAAGCTCCGAAAATCTGGCTCCGCAGATGCTGCTGGTGAGGACAACACCCCCCGCTTGACAATCAAGGATCTCCCGAAGATGGATTTCAGCGATGCTGGGGGCAGAACCCCTCTTGACGAATTTTTGGCTGGTTGGGAAGATCAGCCCCAATTCCGACCCACGGACTCGATTTGGCAGCGTGCTGGAGCGCGTGAAGGTGGCCGCGTGCAGTCATCTCACCAGCCGTCGAGTACAGAAATGTTCCTGAAACCCATGAAGACAGCGAAGGGTGAGAAATCATTGCTAATAATAGACTTTGTAAATAACATTGTCCCCCAAGAAGAGGAAGAGACCTTGGGCAACCAAGGAAGTGCTAAAATTGTGGTGACTTATGGGCCAAAAAAGCCAAAATTAGAGTTCATTTCTATCCCACAGTGGGTGGTTGCGAACACTCGTATTTTTTATACCTTGCTCCCAGAGGGCAAATTATCTACTCAATCGGCTATTCAGGATTATCTAGCCTACACGGTCAAAATAGTGGAATTGATAGCTAGGTACGATTGGAAGTCCATTCTTATGTACGATAATGAGTTTAGGAAATTGCAGGCTATCTATAAGTTGTCATGGAGTTTTGACTCCACACGTTTGCATACGGTTTTACTTCAGCCCATTTATAAACCTAACCCACCCACAGCCACTACTAAACCATCTGCTTCTAATACCAACCAGCGCAACGCCTTTGCCAGCTTTATGCCAGATGGTAGAGTTATCACACTCCCAAATTGTAATTTTGCCCATGTCTGTAATCGTAAGATTGCAGGGAAGGCTTGTGCCATGTCTCACCCCGGGTTCTCTCACAAAGTTGCCGATCCTCCAAGCGTGCAAACACCGCAATGACTACTCCTACGTAAATTAAGTAATAGTCCCCTTAATCGCAATCTTTGGCTGTTAGAATTAAAGTATGATGAGGATCATGCTTTCCTCAGCGACGGCATATGCAATGGCTTTAAACTGGTTGAACCAGGCACTCGCTTTTCTGATGTTGACATGGATAATTATAAATCTTCGACTAATCCTGTCAACAGACCCATGGTGGAACAAACTATTCGTCAAGAAATAGCATTAGGCAATTATGTAGTCTCGCCTACTAAACCGCGCATCGTAAGTGCTTTAGGAGCTATTCCTAAACCCAATTCCCCTGAAATTCGCCTCATCCATGATTGCTCTCGTCCGCACAGACAGGCTGTCAACGACAACATCACTACTAATTCGTTTAAATTTCAAACTCTTGACGACGCTACTACATTACTGCAGCCAAACTATTATATGGCAAAAATTGACCTCCGGCATGCATACCGCTCTGTTCCCATTCACCCCGACAATTATAAAGCAACCGGGTGCAAGTCGCAATTTCTTGGTGATCATAGCTATACTTATTTTTACGATACTCGCCTACCGTTCGGAGCCAAAAGCTCACCCGAAATCTTTCATCGCATAACGCAATCGGTCCGCCGTATGATGGCCAGACGAGGGTTCCCTAACATCATCGTTTACCTTCTTAGTGATTGGCGCCACACGAAAAGAATGCCAGCTTGCATACGACACACTTTTTCAACTGTTGATCGACCTTGGTTTTACCCACAGTGAACATAAACTGGTGCCACCTACTCAGCGCTTAACCTTTTTAGGTGTGGAACTCGACACAATGGCTGGCACTATGACCTTACCGGCAGATAAACTGGCAGAGTTACACACCATCGTCCTCGAATTTCAAAACAAACAACGTGAGAGCAAAAAAACAGCTGCAACGGTTAGCCAGCAAATTAAATTGGGCATGTCGTGTCGTTTATGGGGGCCCTACTTTTCTCCGCCGTATTCTTGATACCATGAATGCATTGAGCCCTTCTGGGAAATTCAGATTAGACTCCTCTTTTCGCAGCGATATCGCCTGGTGGGTGAATTTTCTACGCATCTTTAATGGCACTAGGATGTTTCTAGATCAGTTAGCGACAGTCGACATGTGTACTGATGCATGTCCCGTTGCAGCTGGTGGCTATTTCAGAGGTGATTGGTTCTATCATCATTTCACGCTGGACTCCCCAGAATGGCAGAACCTTCACATCAACCACAAGGAGACCCTGGCAATTGTACTCGCCGCACAATGCTGGGGTCCATTGTGGTCCCATCAATGCGTGGTTATCCATAGTGACAATCAAGCTGCTGTGCAGATAATCAACAAAGGAATCACCGCCAGTCCTGTTGTCATGAACGCCTTGCGCACGCTCTTTTGGCTTTCCGCTCTTTACAATTTTCACATCACTGCAGTTTATTTAGCAGGCACTGACAACGCCCTCGCAGATTCTATCTCGCGCATGCATGAGACCACCGGCCTGCATAACTTTTACGCCTCTCTTTGTAGTAAATTTTCTACCGTTTCTGCTAACTCAGTCCCGTTGGCTGCGCATATGTCTGTTTACAGCGCTAACTACCTTTTCTTTCAGGTCCACGGGATCCTACCCTAGCCGTACAGCTTACAGAGGAAGTTCAGTACTATCGTTCCCAGCTTTTCGCCGCGTCTACCAAAGCGACCTACAAAACCCACCGCAACACCTACTTTCGCTTCTGCAATCACATGGGCTACACACCTGTTCCTGTGCAAACACCACATCTTCAATATGCCGCCTTTTTGGCTCGTTCGCTAAAACCACAATCTCTTCGTGGCTACCTGAACATTATTGGTATTTTATATAAGGAGTTTGGCTTCCCCAACCCTTTGATCGACAACTGGCCTCTAAAATCTTTGCTCACTGACATTAAGCGCGCTGTAGGTGCCCCGCCTAATCAAAAACTACCTATTACTGAGGCTATACTTTTGCGTCTCCATTCTACGTTAAATTTTACCCTCAGCTTCGATGCTTCATTTTGGGCGATCTGTTTAGTCGCATTTTTTGGCATGTTTCGTAAGGCACACTTGTTACCTATTTCCTCGGGCAAGTTTGATTCTAGCAAGCAGCTTACCAAAGCTGACTTTCGGGTTTTTCCGTGGGGTACACTCATCACTATTCGCTGGAGCAAAACTATTCAATTTCGGGAACGGGTGGTGGAAATACCCTTACCATGTATTCCCCGCAGCAGGTTATGCCCAACCACCGCCATTATTCATGCCTTTAGCTTCACCCCTTCTACCCCAGACAGCCAAGCCTTCAACTGGGTCCCAACCCCTTCATCCGACCCACAGATTTTTACCTATGCATTATTTTTACGTAAGCTAAGGGACCACCTTTCCCTTATTGGTATCGATCCTAAGTTATACGCGGGTCACTCTTTTCGTCTCGGGGGGGGTTCGTCTTTTGCTTATCACTCTGGCGTTCCGATAGAACTTATTAAAGCATTAGGCGACTGGCGCTCGGATACCATCCTCATCTATCTCACCATGCCTCTTACTATCAGACTCAAAACAGCTAACATGCTTTGTAAATCCATTTTATCTCACTCCACCTACTCTTCACACTCATCTCACTTCACTTGGGTTTGGGCTGTTTCTATTTTAGGACTTAGATTAAAAGTTAGAATAAGTATTTTTCAATAGGTGTACTAGGTTTACGCGTTTATGTTTGTAATAAAGACTGTCAGACCCTAAAGCGTGTACATGTGGTGGTTTAGACAGAATCTCTGTAAAAAAATGAAGGAAAAAAACTCGGAGAACATAAAATGTTGACAAAATCCTCATAAAACATCTAGCAAAAAAAAACCACAAAATGTCTTTAAAATGTACACAAATTAAGTACACATAATGTTTATCAAAAGTGTATGTAATGTCTTTAACATATACACGGAGTACCACATGAAAACTCTGGAAAATGTCGATGTCATCTCAGTAAAAAAAGGCACGAGCAAATCAGAATGATAGGCAAGAACACAAAATCCCTACAAAATGCCCGTAAAAAGAGAACAAAACCTGCACTAAAAAATGTCTGTAAAATGCCCATTAAATGTACCACAAAATGTCCATAAATGAAGTTCACATAAGAAAATGCAAGGGGTAACAGGCTGCACATCCATAACGGCGAGAAACCTTGAGTTACCCTTTTATATTTTAGCTCTAACAAGCATGTCCTTTAGGGATTTTCCTTTCTTGTAGGAAATGATAGGTGGTTCTTAAAAATTTGGCGAAGTAACGAAGTGTGAGATTCCACTTTTTCATTAAAACTTATAGGCGAATCTTTGCTTCGATTGAAATGAGCATGCGCAAAAGTTTGTGTGGCAAAAAACAATGGCAGACGAGAAGGATTGTGAGGGCGCCAGTAGTCTTGATAACTCTAGAAGCCGAGTTGGTGGGGTGGATTCGAGGTATTTAGCAACTTTACAGCCACAAGACAGAAAGCGCTTTCAAGAAAAGTTGAAATATGTAGTGGATGCGGAATTATTAGAAATACAAAATCCCTACGAGTCATGGAATGCGCCGTCGTGGAGTGATAAGCCCACCGCGTGGCCTGAAATAGAATTTGGTGATCTGTGGACTTACCTCGTTGAAAAGCCAGGACCTTTTACAGAAGCAAAAATGAAAGCTTACAAAAGTCTGGAAGTCCATGAATACTTTGTGTCTCGCAAAGTTGGCGTTGTTTACAGCCATGAGGTTAAGGAAAAGACGGGAATCTTCATCCTAAAGGCTGAAGTTCGCCCTGGGCAAGCAGAGTCTCAAAATTCATACTTAGCGTGGATTGTTGCCAAACGCAACGGAGAAATATTAACAGCTCATTGTGACTGTAAAGCAGGGTAAGTTAAATTTACATAGCTTATTACATCAGTGTACGATTTTTATTACAAATCAGGATTGGCAAAATCCTTTATTAGTTCAATCTCTCACTTTTACCCCCACATTTTTAATTATTTAGAACTTCTTAATATTATCAATTTTAAGACTTGGGGAGATGTGCAGCCATGTAACTGCCATAATGTTCAAGATTGAAGCAGCCGTACGAACTGGTCTGACCACAGCATCTTGCACAAGTGAAGCTTGCAGGTAACCTTTAGTTAGGTCTTATAATCATACAGTGACAAACACTCAGTATTTTTTTTTGTCTACAAATTTCCATCAGCACTTCAGTTAAGAAAGGCTACTAGTTCTAGTCCAGTGGATTCCATCACCTTTCTCATGCATTGGTGTTTTGCTTCAGTTACTACGTTACTTACAGATATGTCAGTGATGTTATTTAGTTTCATCCCTGGAGCTCAGTGTCAAGTCCAAGCCAAACGGTTGCACCATGTTGGAGGCAACATCATCCAACATTGCAGTATTTAACATGTTGTATTCATATGGCCACTTCTCTGAACACTATGCAACATCATCCAACAATGTTAGACGATGTTGCAACCGTTTGGCTAGGCCTTCAGCTTCCTTTGTTTTCGACTTCTTCTATCATATTTGGATGAATTACATTGAAATATAAACCGTAAAACAGTTTTTTTTTCATTTTACTTTCCTAATTTTTAGGTGGAATAGGATTTTTGGCAACAATGCTCTAACAGCCCCAGTAGAAGAGATCAATTTCCGCTCTGGAAAAAAAGGAGAGTTTGTTCCAAGGGCTGCAGCTCAAAGAGACGATGGTACACCACTTGTTTGTATAAAAGGAGGCCCAAATTACATTAACGCATATAAGGGCTTGTTAGAGGAACTGCAAGAGATTTGTCCAGATGCTTGCATATTTAAATCAATTACTAAGTTGGACTCAGAAGAAACAGACACAGCAGACAGTGATCATGAAGATGAGGGTAAACTATTCTTTACTGTTTATTGAGTTGAATAAAAACCGGTAGTTTTAACAATTCCAGTGAGTCCAACAAAAAGGACAAAATTTAACATCTAGCAAAAACCTGCAATTAGCTTTCCTCTGTCTCTCTAAGGTAATATAAATTTAAAAAGGTTCTGAACATGAACATTGTAGTGTGAAGTTTGCAACAGAAATTCATGTTTATATACTTTCATTATTATTGTTATCTTCTACAGGACAAATGGAATGCGCAGCTGTACCTGCACAAGATAGTGTATTTACTGTTCTCTGCTCCCCATTACCAGTCCCACACTGTGCTGCAGTAACCACTAGCAAGCTACCGCCGGGGCCCCCTCCATTCCCTTTAAATGGTGAACAGTTGGAACAGTGGGCTGCACTACCCAAAAGCCTTTAATGTTGGAGAGGGAAAGTTCGCTTGTTACGATAAGCTAATGAAGAAAGGCACCAGCCAGGGAAGTACCCAACTGGAGGTCGTTGAGCCCTTCACATCCCCGCGTGTGTCGACTGGCTTCTTGTACAAAAATAGCAAGACGAAGGAAAACAAAAGTGAACCTTGTGAATTCAGTTGCCCTCAACCAGGCTGCATCAAGTTATTCAAAACGACAACAGTGTTGCAAAACCACCAGGACTTTGGCAAGAACATTTTTTGCACCCAAAAGGATTCCACGCATGACAGTATTGAGCGTAGATGGGCTACCGCATGCACCAACCTACGCCCTTCATATATTCCATCCAAAAAGAACCTTGAAGGATTGAGCCAAGAAGAGTGCAGAGAGTACCCCACTACTGAGCCTGGCTGGGCCTTGAAGAAAAACAAGAAGACCGGGTGATTTTCAGAACATGTCAAAGAGTACCTCCTTAAACTGTTTCTTGATGGAGAAGAGACAGGAAATAAGAGCGACCCTGCCGTTGTTGCCTCAAACTTGAAGTCACTTCGTGGACCAGATGGCGTAAAATTGTTTTCTTCTAAAGACTGGCTCAGCGCTCAACAAGTTACATCATACTTTTCACGTCTCGAATCAGTCGCTAAGAGTGGAAAGCTTTCTTTAAACAAGAAGACTGTAATAGAGGAAGAAGATATGCTTGATGCCCTTGTTGAGAGAGGAGAACGAGAGACCATGCGAGACAAAGTTTTTCACGTTGTGAACTTATAGAAGGAGCTTAAAAACCGTTGAGAAAAAGATGGGGCAGAGCCGATAAGCAGCTAGATAGGAGATACCTTTTACCAATGCCTGTTATAACGCGTGCTCTCTAGGTGCACTTCATAAGAATGACAACACATTTTTTTATTAATGAACACTTTTTGTTGTAAACTAAAAATTTGTCCCATCTCTGCAACCAATTTTCAGGCCCCGGTTGTTCAAACGTTGGTAAGTACTATCCACCGGATAAATCACTATCCAGCAGATAAGTACTAGGGAAACCAATTGCGTTATCCAGTGGATAGATTTTTATCCGGTGGATAGCGCTATCCAACGTTTGAACAACCGGGATCTATTTCTTTCTAAGTTATGTCATATTGGAAGATGTGTTGGCTCTTATACATTGTATACAACTTACAGCTCATTATATCACCTTATAAGGCTATAAAATAAATTTTAAAAAGAGCTTACCCTTTGCCACACAAAGCAAAAATATGAAATCTGTAAATGGCATCAAAGCGAACCACTTTCTAAAGCACTAAGCAAAAGAACACTTCCCGTTGATTACACAATGGCCTATATTACCGCAGGTCAGTTTTTCATTGCAGGCGCATAAGCAATATGGCAGAAGAAAGAGTTGTGGTTGATGTGGCCCTTCTGTCGTAATCTTTATGTCCAGAAAATGATAACCGTTGTCAATTTAAATATCAAAATGGGCATTAGAGTATTGGCCTTTTCAACAGCACCAAATCTGAGAAATAAGTCGCAGCCTGTGTTTTATCGCACCACTCAGCCTTTCTGAACGGCAATGGAATGTGAACTTTTGGACGGTTTTATGGCAGATATAATCCCGTGGAAACATAACAATGTAAAGAGAAGGTTAGAATCTCCTATTAGGAAGTTTTTCTTGCAATTTATTTCAAAAGCACTGGGGAAATGTAACCAATCCTCATGAATTGTAGCATTATCGTAAGTCAGTAAAACGATCAGTTTGCAAATGGTGACCAGTAAAACCTCGGTATTTCTCTTAAACTATTGCAATACCCAGAGGTTTTATATACCAGAGCAAAAGACAATACCTCTGTGTAAATCATCAAGTATTTCACTTTACTTGAAGCTCTGCGAGAACTTTTTTATTTTTTTTGGAAAACTCAAGAAATTTGCATAATTTTTGTTATTAACATATGTCATGTTAAATAATGCTATGGAAAATTTAATAAAGAAGAGTCACACTGATTATGCTGTCATCGTTTAAGAGTGTATACTTAGTAGTTTGTGAGAATTTTGTTTCACCTGGATTGCTGAACAATTTGCCAGAAATATTGTCATTCAAAAAATCACAAATTTGCACATATTTCAGTGTAGATTTGGTTGTTCAAGGGTACCCCCCCTGAAAAAAAGAAAAGAAGGAAGCTTGAACAAAACTAATACCATATCTACCTATCCTTCACCAAGTTATGCCTATGTGGAAGGTTTGTGCCAATTCTGTGATGTGCACTGTAGCACCTTTTGCATGGTTTTCTCATGGATAGCCTCTTAATAAAAGAGGATTTTATTTATTTATTTTTTTACCTCTCTCTTGCTCTTTGTACCCCTTTCTTTCCCCGGCCACTCTCTCCAGTGCTGCCACAGTTTCCTTTTTTCCTTGGCCATCAGAAAGATTTGAACCAACGCTCCTCTTTAGCTCTGGCGTTTCTGTCTGTCTACCATACCACTAGACCACGACGATTTGTTGAGATTTACTGGATAAAAGAAAGATATTTTTTTGCATGTTCAAGTTCAAATAGACAACAATACAACTGAAACATGAAGTCATGTAAATTATTCAGGCTTTTGCTTGTATTATATTCATGATAAAATGCATCAATGCAGGCAATAAAAAGCACGCGCACTTCAGAAACGCTCTTTCCCTGCATGTATTTCAATTGGCTATGGCTCACCAAATCAACTTTTTGAAGCTATCAAAAATTCTGGCGGATCACGACTGGTGCATAGAGTGGTGTAAGGAAAACAACCTACTCCCGTCGTCATTGAAATGTCCTAGAGCTGGATCACAGCCACAATGCACTCAGCTGTACTAGACAAGCTTTATCGCGAGATGGGTACAAGTGGTGATGCTCCAAGAGAGATTGTAGAATAGTTTATTAAAACTCTCTTCCAGTAAAAAGAACTGAATTATCGAGCACATTTTACAATCTTAAGGCAACTATTATCTAGAGTATAGTAATTTACAGTTATAGCAATGATAATAACAGCTGAATCACTTAAAATATTTAAAAGTAAAGAAGTCCTCCACTCTCTTTGTTCTACAGACCTGCATGTTCCGGAAAAGATAATACTTTTGTGTTTTCTGCCTTAAGGTGTAGTTAGGTGCGTCCAGAAGTGGGCTGGGAAATAGGTGGTGCAGGGGTGGCTGGGGGACTTCATTTTCGCCATATATTTGTAGCACAAGTGTACTCTCGTATCATCTAACCTATCTAGTTTACCTAACTGTAAGGCATGAGCATATGACTCTGCCTTGGCGTAGATTATGTTAAGCGCCCTTTTCTGCACTCGCTCTATGGCTTCGGACAGGTAACGATAGTAACGCAGGAATCTGGGATATCAGTAGACAACCAAGACTCGGTTATGCAAATTGCCCCAGCAGAATTCAGTTCTGCAAGTTGTTGGATCTCTTCTACTTTCTTGGGCAGTGACCTGACATTAGTCGATAGTATAGTAGGTATACCGTACACCTTATGTTGCCATAGCTTATTAACGCTTCTCAAGCCCCTGAAGTTAACAGATCTCTGTGTTAATCGCAGGTTTTCAGCGATGTGGCTGCCACAGTGTTGACGGCAATCAGCACGGTAATTAACTATAGTTGGAATAGGGCGACAGACCATAGCGCTTTAAGCTGCTGGAAGTGAGCCCTAACATCCAGAGCACATCTGCGACGTCGAAGAGAAAATAACTCCTCGCGGCTATAAGATATACCGTCAGCCGGTAATGGCCGCTCATGAGGAACAATCCCAGTTTGAGGCATGCAAGGCCTTAAATCAGCCAAAGCCAAAGGGGGGCCAGGATTAGCTTGTACATCCATACAAAGTGTAAGGTCCCTCGGTGGCAGGCATATACAAATGAGACCATGCTTCCTCCACTCAACAACTGGCCTCGAAGGAGCATTGGTCAGCTTGGATCGTTTTAGCACTCGGCTGAAATCTTGTGGCCGGAAATTCCAGCAATAGACGCGTTTCCGATAGTAGGCACGTCTCAGCTTTGAAGCTGGTGGCAGATAGGAGTACAAATGATAGAGAGAGAAACAGAAAGTACAATAAACACGAAGAGCTAAAAATCGTAGCAGCCATCTTGGCACGCATACATAATCATGCAATGGGGCAGCATCAATGCGCCAGAAGTCATGGTTTTCTGGTAGCAGGCTATCCATTGAAAAAGTATTAGCCCTAACTTCAACTGGACGCACAAATTTACTACTACTCAAGCAGTGCACAAAACCTCACTAGACGACGAAACACATCAACAGAAACGGTGATGGCTGGTATAACTATTACCGTGACGTTTGTGCCAACAGAATCATGAATCATCATGCGGGGCCAATAGGCAGACCTGCAACAACTGTTGAGATTGACGAGTCTAAGTTTGGCAAGATGAAGTATCACCGAGGTCGCAAAATCGAAGGGAAGAGGGTTTTTGGTGGCCTTTGCCGCAAAACCAAGGCCTGCTTCCTTGTCCCAGTAGAGTGTAAGGATAAAGAGACTCTCTTGCCCATTATTCGCACTCAAATATTGCCGGGTACACATGTGATGAGCGACTTATGGAGATCTTATGACTGCCTAACAGACGAGGGCTACGAACATCTCACGGTTAAGCACAGCATGAACTTTGTAGACCCAGACACAGGTGCCCACACACAGGGCATCGAAAATACATGGTGGGGAGTGAAGCGAAGTTATCCCCGTACAGGAACATCCCAAGAACTCATCGAAAGCTACCTCCAGGAGTTTATGTGGCGTAAGCATTACGGAGAAAACCCCTTTCAAAACATATTGAAGCATATCGCTGAAATTTATCACGTTGGAAATGACATATAAATGCATAAATATATACCACTCTATGCACCGTTCGTGATCTAAAACTATCGACATTAAGATATGGAACACAGACAGATGAGATGTAAGGGACAGGTACCTCAGAAAATATTTCAGGGACAACAAAACTCGGACGAACATAGCTAAAAAGGTAGTACTTTATTTCATTTTGTTTAGCGTGTTAAATTCGGAGGTTAGTTTAGGGAATTTAATGCTCTGCACTACGAAATATTTTGTTTTAGTATATGCTAAAACAGTGGATAGGGTTTTTCGCGCACTCTGATTGGCTGCCCAATCTCAGAATATCCTGCACTATTCACTGATTCGCCTCCAGCCAAGCGGCGCCAAACTCGCGCAAGGTACATGTACGACAAAAATGGCTCAGTCTCAGTTTGCCACGGTAACTAGCGACGAAATTTCGAAAACAAATGAAGAGGCCATACCAGACAACACTAAAAAAGTAACTAAATTCGGTCTAGCAGTTTTCACAGGTAAAGCTTTGTCTGTTTAAGTGTTTAACCCAGCAACGGATCTGGTGTGGTACTGCTCGAGTCCACTTGGCCACAACACGCTTGAAAATATGCTGCCAAGTATGACATCAAGAGCTGGAATAAAGCCACATCTAACAAATCACTCGCTCAGAGCGACCACCGTGACAGTTTTATCAGCTGCAAACATCGAAAGTCGGTACATCGGGGCAATAATATTCAAGATGGATCACAGAATCTTGTCCATGGCTTCATTCCCGGAGCCACATTCCATAACTGTAATCTCAACTTTAATGTGAGCTTTGGAGGAAGCAGCAGCAAATAAAACTTGCAACAGACAACGAAAAGAACAATCTACGAACATGGCGTAAAGCCAGGACTTTTCCTTTTGCAAAGCTTGATCTTTTATTTATGGTTGTAAAGTCTTAAACACAAAATTATGAATATTTCATCATCAGATGTGTCATGTGACTATTTTGAGCTGCGCGCATGTTTATTTAATTTGCGCGCCAAAGTTATAAATAAACGAATTAAAAATCGTCATTTGAGATCATTTTAGGCTTATCTCACTGTTTTAGCATATACTAAATTTACGCCGCTCGGTAAATTTCTAATACTAGCCACCTCCACTTCAGTGAATAATTGTTATTTAGTTTTCTGAAACGGACTTAATTATATAGTTAGGTTTACCAACAGAAAAACATGTTCAAAATTTGTTGGAAAAAGTTTCGATTTTATTGAAAACATTTTATTCAAACACGGAATTCTATGTTGACCTGTGCAATTGACTCGCTGTGCCACAACAACACCAAGCCTTACGAAAAGGCTGTGGCTTCTGATCACCTTTATTCATTAGTGTCACCTTCCTTCATAAGTCCTCTACTGTTTACCACCAACCTTTTGGCACATTCAGTGACCCGAAGCAAGCTGGCACTGAACATCAATGGCAAATTGCACCCTACTGGAAGGCACACTTCTGTCAGGAATTGGCTAAATAGCCTTACAATGTCAGTACCTGACTTTCCCCCTGGTGACGTCCTTTCCGCAATTCATAATGTCCAAGTATTAATAAAAAAGTGGACAGTGGGGAAAGCCAACAGGGCACAAATTAGTGTTTTGACTAGTGTGTGCGTAGCTCAAATTGCTCCACATGAGACATTGCGAAGGGAACCTGCTCTTGCTCCAAGGTACATATCACGCATGTACATGCTTTCTCTTCTAAAATACTATGATATTATTGATAAATTTTTATAAAGGACAGTGTATGTTATAATTTTCAAAAAAAGAAAATTAATATGCTGAACTGTAGATTCAGTGCATTTGCCTTTGTGATGTTATGGGGTTTATATGTAGAATGGCAGTCAGTGCTGCACGAAAATGAACTACTTTTCTAGGACCTGTTGTAACGTCATGTACATAAATGCACAGTTACAGTGACTTTCACATAGCTGAAGTCTTGTTTTCTTTTATATGTGTATTTTAGGGCTTGACCCAAGAGAGTAGAAGTTGCCAAAGAGAATCAGAAGGAAAGGGCAAAGCTTATTGAAGCATGTTCACTTTCACAGCCTGATAAAGAAATTATCCGTCGTGAGGTGAGGTGTAAAAATTAGACACAAAATTAATATCAAGGAAAACGATACATGGACACAAAATAAACTTAGGCCCGGTTCAAACGTCGAACTTTACATGTGCCGAACCTCACTGTTAGGTTCGGCACATGTAAAGTTCGACGGATGAATCAATTAGGAAAGGCACTTTTGTATTCGACTCTGCCATTCTATTCGACTGAGGTAGTCGAATAGAACGGCAAAAGATCGACTTCCATTCATACGTCGAACTTCACATGTGCCGAACCTATTGCATACATTATGCATACATTAAATCAGTAATTTTTTCCCACAATCTCACTAGTCTTTAGGTAGTTGTCATGCACAGAAAATTACATTCTAAAAAAATGGCGGGGAAAGAAGGGCAATGTTGTTCCTCTTGCCTAAAAAGTACAAAGTATACTTGTTTGAAGTGCAAGGAATATTTCTGCATGCCCTGCTCCATCTCCGAGAAAGAAGAAACTGTGACTGGCTGGAAAGCGGGGAGTTCAGTGGAATATTGCGCACCACACGCCGGGCTGGTGAGCGCTCTGAAGCGGAACAATCAGCGTCCACAAATATGGCGTTTGTGACCGTGTGGTTTTTAGAGAAGCCTGGAACTGAGTTAACGCCTGTTGAAAACTGCCTCCGAGCGGTCCTGGAGTTAGTCCGAAGGCGCCAAAACTCGAATGTGCTGAAAGTACACAGTTTCCCCGTCATTTTGATACTAAATATGCCATAGTTTCTTCGATGTTCGCTTAGCAAGAGACAGTAGAGGAAATAGTAAAAGAAAAGGTAAAATTTTGTCGTTTCTATCGTATTTTTGGCTAGGATAGTTTTTTAAGTTTCTCTACTTATCCGAGAATTTGTGCTACGAACCGAAACTTCAAAGCCTTGACAAAACCTCTATGATTTTCGTTTTCCTAATTTTGCCTTCTTTCCTTAGTTTTTTATGAGTTAATTTCTAGGATGCCGCACACAAAGAACACGCGCTTTAACTTGGCTCAATTCATGAAAGCTCGCAAGGTTGCAAGGGAGAAAGCTGTTGATGAAAATTGCAAGCTATCGGCAGAGTACAAAAAAGTCCAGCGAGCCCAAGAAAAGGTGAGATAAATTTGTCCAGTATTAATGATTTGGGAAGATTTTTATTTTCAATATCAGAGAATATTGTAACAAAGGATTATAGGAAAGTGGTGGAGGTCCATGTGTAGGGAGGCTTGAATTTCAATTTTGACAGGGTAAAGAAATTCAAAATAATAATAATGATAATAATTTTTTTTTTTTTTTTTTTTTAATAATAAAAACAAAACTTTATTCATAGATTTAAAAAAAAATAGACTATTTACAGATTCAAGAATATGAAATATTAAAATATATACCCTATGTACATTTTTCTTGTCTACGAAAGAGAATTGTTGTAAAATGACTATCTAAAGACTACTAATAACAATTATAAAATAATAATAATAATAATAATAATAATAATAATAACAATTATTATTATTATTATTATTATTGTAGTTTATTATTATTATTTTTATTTTAATAAGAATAATTTTTATCATGAACTGGGTAATCATGGTTTGTTTAAACCTCGCTGTACTTCTCTACACAAACACTTGTTAATATCCCCCCCCCGCACAAGCTTTTTATGTGTTTAAACTCTAAATGACACTTAAAATTAACCAATCAGTGCTTATGAAATCACTTGTATAATAATTGCTTTCAGTTGGCCACAGTCAGGGAACACTTCAAAGACATAACAAATGAATTAGAAAATATTCCTGTGAGTATACTCTTGATTCTTTATTGTGGTTGTTTTACCAGTACCAGTAAGTATGCAGCAAAAAACTGCTGGGCGCAACCTCCAACTAAGTCTGTAGGTTTGCATTGATTAGTGGTTGGATGAGGTTTAATTTTATGCCAAATTTTATTAATAATGTGAACAGAAAAATATTCAATTTTGTAAAAATAAAAAAAATATTTTGCAAGTTCAATTTCGGTGAACTAACCACTTAAAACAGAGCCAGTGCCAGAATGACAGCCATGGTCAGGCTTCTATGCCGGTACCTATGCAAGAAACCTGAGCGAGTGCCTGTGTTCATTTGGTTAGTAAAGACTGTCATAAATGACAGTGTCTCTAAATTATTACCACACTCTTAATTCTTTATTATGGTTGTTTTAGCAGTAAGTATGCAGCAAAAACTGCTGGGCACAACCTCCAACTAAGTCTGTAGGTTTGCATTGATTAGTGGTTGGATGATGTTTAATTTTATGCCAAATTTTATTAATAATATGAACAGAAAAATATTCAATTTTGTAAAAATAAAAATAAAAAATATTTTGCAAGTTTAATTTCGGTGAACTGGCCACTTAACACAAAGCCAGTGCCAGAATGACAGCCATGGTCAGGCTTCTATGCCGGTACCTATGCAAGAAACCTGAGCGAGTGCCTGTGTTCATTTGGTCAGTAAAGACTGTCATAAATGACAGTGTCTCTAAATTGTAAACATCAACATATTGAATGTAAGATTTGGCTAAATATCTATTTTGTTATCATCCAACCACATCTAATTTAAATAATTGTGTTACTACCCAGTGTCTAATTTAGCAATATTTTAGTCACAGGGACAGGTATCTCATGCACGAACAAGAAGCCCTACTGCACTTGTCAATGGAGAATCAACACTGGGACCAAGGACCGCAAGAAAAAGGAGGCATAAAACCATTGAAGCTGCTGCCAAAATTCATGGGAGCTCAAATGAACATTCCTCAGCCTGTTTCGAGGGAATGTTTGACACTCTGCAAAAGAGATGCAAGTTAGATAAGTTAACAAAATATGTGACAGAGAACAAGCAGTTGACCAATAGAATAGTTTGTAAAGAGTATAAGAAGAGTGTGTTAGAATTTGAAAAGTCAGATGACAACATTGTTCGAAGTATTGCAACATATTATGCAAGTGGTGTAATGGGGAAACGAAAGTACAAAAGTGTAAGACTGCTGCTTTCAATGAAATCAAATGAAGGCAAACCAGGGAAAAGAACAAGTATTTCAATTTGTAAAGGCTGTAAGGTTCCAAAGCTTCTAACTTATAGTAACCTTGTAGAACAGTTAAAAAAGATTGACATTGGGACTGTTCATGAAATTGACCCAGACTATCTAGAGGGCTTAGAAACTGAAAACCAAGTCAATGGTGCATATAGAGACTTGAGACAATACCTCCCAATGCTTCCCAAATTTTATCTTTCTCAGAACAGAAAAGAAAGTCTGAAAGGCTTTGCAGAATCAACAGGCACTTTTCAAATTGCTCTTGGTGGCGACGGATGCCCATTTGGCAAAAATGAGAGCGCGTGTTCTTTCTTAGTCAGTTTCCTCAATGTTGGAAGAAGGGTGGCATCAAGTTATGATAACTTTCTAATTTTTGGTGCCAACTGTGATGAAAGCTCTCCTGGTACAAAGAAATTTGTGAGGTCATTATTACCTCAAATTGCAGAGTTAAAAAGAGCTGAATATGAATTTGAAGGCATGAAATATAGGTTTAAGCTGGATGAATTGCCAAATGACATGAAGATGCTTGCCATGTTGGCAGGTGAATTAACTATTAATGCTAAGTATTTCTCACCCTTTGCTAATGTTTCATTAGCTGATGGTAGGGATGTCAAGGGTACATTTGGAACTGAAAGTTCAAACAAGTGGAAGCCATGGAGTTACAAGCAAAGAGTAAATGTTGTCAACAAGGTTGAAGCATATAAGAAAAGAGTAGCACTAGAAAAAATTTCTGAAAAGACAAAGAGATCTAAAATTACTGATTACATTGCCAAGCAAAGTAGTAGAGGGAATTTCTGCCTCTCTTAGGTTCTTACACTGACAAAGCTCATGTGGAACCCCTTCATCTAAAGAACAATGCTTGGCAGTACTTCTTTAAAGCAGTTTTGACAGAAGCTATAAGAAAATCTAAGCTGCCAGCTGATTGTAAAAAGTTTTCAGAGGTTCCAGCTGATAGCCCTTTTGCACGAGTAATTACAGCTTTACAAACAGAAGTAAAAGCCAGGCACCTTGCAAACAAGACCAAACAATGGTTTAATGAAACTCAAGGGTCTGGAGCTGATTTGCATTATAGATTTACCGGAAAAGATTCCCGCTGTTTTTGTCATAACTTCATGAGACTAATCAAGTGGCTAAGGTGTGAAAAAGACTCCAGGAAAGAACGTCAAACAGTTCTTGCTTTAGCTTATTTAGGTGTGAGGCTATGGGACTGTGTTTCTCTCTTTAGTAGATTTGAGATAACATCAGACCACATTGATCAGCTTTCTATTGCCTGTCATGAGTATTTTGAAGTAAATTCATTGTTGTTGCCAAGTTCTGTAAATCCTACTGTCTGGACATTGGGTCAAATTGTCCCGGCTCATTGTCGTCAAGTGCTTGAAAAGTATGGCCAGGGGTTGGGGTTGGTAACGATGGAAGGACGAGAAGCGAAGCATATTTTTCTTAAAAAATTAGGTGAAAATACAACATATCAAAACAGATGGGTTGAAATATTTAGACATGAATATGTGATGCTGATTTGGCTACCTCAGCAAGGTTTTCAGCAGCCAGAAGCTGCATGCAAAAATGTAGCCTACATCCCAGAGAGGGTATTCAATGATCCATCTTATTGCTATTGTGGTCTGTTAAAGGCATGTCCTGAGGATGCTAAGTGCTGTGTCTGTGGAGACCCAATCATGAAATTTATTGAGCAAAGTGTAAAGGACGGAAGGATTGCTCCACAGCTTTTGTAATTAATGTTAAATCTGTACACAGTTGGACTCAAAAACACTGCTGACTTGAGATTATATATTATATTACATTACATAGTTTATATCATACCATACAATATAATATATTATATCATATCATATTATATTGAATTATATTACATTAGCAGCAGTAAGGAACTTTAAGATAGTGTTAGAATATAAAATCCAGTTTGATCACCCTCCTGTTGTGTGGTTTTGTTTACAATTGGTCCTAACATAAGGAATCAAACATGTTGGGACTCAATATCAAACCTCTCGGCATTCAAACATTGTTGCTAATACTGATAAAGTATGTCTATGGCACTTTGATAGGATTCATTGGCAACTGCGAAGAGTGGAGGACAATTAACAACAACAACAATTTATTGGCATATACTGTAGATGTCATTACCTACAAATTATATAAGAATTAACTGCAATGGGCCATTCCATTTTATATCAGCACCCCCCCCCCTATTGAGGGTCAAGGAAATCCTAGGGGGAGGGAGGGGGCCTTTAGCAGTAATTTCTGAAGGAGTAGCCATGTTGGTAACTTTGATCTTTTTGTTTTTTTCTGAAGGGGGGTATGTGTCAGCACTTTGATCTTTAAAATCAGAGGGGGTCCTCAACTGTTATTTCCGAGGGAGTAGAGACCAAAACCCCACAATAGGGGGGGGGGGGGGGGTGCAGATATTAAAAGGAATGGCCCAATAACTAAACTATATATATATAAAAGGCGAGGCAAGTAACTACAAATCGGCTGAGTGCATAATGTTAGGACAACTTATAATTACAAACAGCCTGACATATACTCCACTCAGTCTATTCCGCATTACTTATACGCTTACGAAAACGTGTAGCCAAATTCATTAGTGAATTTGTAGTGGGCTTTCCCCACCACTTGCTGTGTCCTCTTAATAAATGTGATGGTGAAAGGCGTTTCAGAAGTTATGGAAACTTTTGAAGTTCCTTTTCTTGTTCCTTTACTCTGCTTAATAAGGAATTCTCGGACTGAGTCTCTGCTTAGCTCAGATAACTGGACAAAATCTCGAATCAGTCTGTTCTCTCTGTTATAGTAGATTATATCTGTGTTTTTCTTTGTTGTGCACAACACCATAAGCGGAACGGGCCTTTTTAACCATCTGTAAAATTAAGGAAAATATTTCCGAGGACATCGCCCTTTTAAACTCTACAGTCCAAGCGCTTCGGGCCTTCATTCTTGGACTGAGGCGCCTATGGAGCATCTTAAGCCACATCTTCACTTCTCCTTCCAGGAATGCTGTCGCTGGAATTTGTGACAAATTAGCTCGTTTCAAAGAGCTTTGGCCCACACGGTTTTTTTCAAAAATTGAAGTGAGAGCTGTTTTTACTTCTTCTTCAAACAAAAAGAAATTATCGACTTCATCACGTAAAGGACGAAGAGCCACAATAGCATTCAAAATGCTATTTTCAGCCGCCATTTTGAAAACTGCTTTGTACTTTTATTCGCATTTCCGCTGTACAATCTCAAACAACAGCGGGTGACAAAGTTCCACTTCACGGCACGCGCCGGCCCGGCATGCCATGCTTCAAAAAAGTCATGGAAGAGAGAGAATTAAAGGCCGTTGTGAGTACATTAAAGCGTACTGCTCCAGGTCCAGATGAACTTCCATTTTGGATCTCTAGGGACTATGCTTATCAACTTGCGCCAACAATCATCAAAGTATTTAAAGTTCATTACTCTTCTCTCAAGAAACAGTTGGTCCCCTGCTTGTGGAAGCTAGCTAATGTTACACCTATTGCAAAAGAGACTCCTTTTGAAACATGCAAACAGCTGAGACCAATTTCCTTAACTAACGTTATTATGAGACCCTTTGAAAGAGTGGTAGTAAAGCAAGAGCTGTCTCCTGTATTGAAGTCTGCCACTGGCTCAGACCAGTTTGCCTACAAAGAAGGATGCAACACAACCTTGGCGCTCTTTACTTGGCATCATCATTGGCTAAAATGGTTGGACAGGACAACAGACTTTGTAAGAGTTTTCTCTTTGACTTCAGTAAAGCTTTTGACAGTGTTCCACATGCTATATTGTCTGCAAAAAGCTAATGTCACTCGACTGATATTAATCCTTATGTTATCAATTGGATTGTCAGCTTTCTTAGTAATAGGAGAAAGAGAGTAGTCGTGGACGGCTTTGTCACTGAATTTGCTAGCATTAACAGAGGGGTACTGCAAGGTACTGTCCTCGGGCCCATATTGTTCTCTATTATGGTAAACGACATAAGACCGGTTTACCCAGAGCGCAATCTATTGCTCTAATATACTGACGATCTTACACTAAACGTACCTGTGTCTGCACATCAAGATCACACTTTCATTGAGGTTAACAGCATTCAACACTGGGCGGTAAGAAACCGTATGAAACTAAACCACACTAAGACCTGGGAGATGGTGGTGCATGGTAGAATTTCCAAACCACTGCCACTTCTGAAAGAGGGGATTGAACGGACAGCTGGTTGAAATTACTTGGCATAATTTTCCAGGAGAATCCATCGGACTGGGAGCTTCATGTTGACAATTTGTTACGTAAAGCCAGTAGTCATTCATACATTTTACGCGTTTGCAAATATTTTGGATACCCTAAAGAACAACTGACAAAATTATTTGATCTTTTAATTATGTCCCCGTTTTTGTACCGAATTGAGATTTAGGGAGCGGCATATCAAGGTAAATACCTTGATTGCCTTGACAAGTTTTCTAAGTGAGCGTTTAGATTCGGATACACCAACAACCTGTATGCAATAGCTGAAGTTATCAAAAATCGAGACTGTAAGCTTGGAACAATATGACAGATACTCCTTCCCATCCCCTTTACCAACTATTACCCCCTAAGAAACAGATTTTTGCAAAACAGAGGGCATGATTTTATTTTACACGGTGTTAATACAGAACGCTTTAAGAGATCTTTTATTAATAGGTGTCTAGGATTCATCAGAATTATCACCTACAATAATAAGACTCTTTATTGATAGTTGGGTAGTCACAACATACGTGTGGCTTTACATACGTGACAATGCAATCTATTTAATATCAAGTACAATTAACTAAATGTGTTTATGTTCAGAATTTGCATTTATGGCCGCAGTTTGATCCTCTAGGGATTTTACATCACATCTCGGCATTTAAGCCTTGTCGCCTCTCGCGTTAGTCACTCGACACAGCCAGTTTTACCGCTCGCTCCTTGCTGAGCTTAATTTTCTAGTATGGGAGACGAGCCTGTTACAAAGCAAGATCTTGCTAGTTTCAAAGATTTTGTTGTTAGTCAGCTCACCCTTCACAAATCAGTTATTTCGTCCGAGGTACAGAAATCGCAAGAGGTTGCCTCAGCTGCCCTTTCTGCTTCTAATTCTTTGAAGGAACAGTCGGGGATCAAGTTTACATACATACATACATAGTTTATTTGGTAACGCAGGTTACAGAATACGCAAGACTGAAGTCCTGATGTGGACCTGCCTATCTACTTGTTAAAAAAAAACTTAAGTATGTACATGTGAATAAATAGAAAATCAACAGAAGTTAAATAATAAATAATAATAACAATACAAATATAAATAAGATTAATAAAGAAATTCCTCATTCCTATTTCTTATCATGGAATATTCCTTATTATAGCTTATAGAATTAATTAAGTCCTTGCTAGATCTAAGTCTTTTTTTAAAACATTCTAAGCTAGAAGACTTTTTGATCGAATCAGGAAGTGAGTTTCAAGCAATGGCAGCTCTATGCTTAAAAGTCAGCCTGCCAATTTCTGTTTTGGGACTTGGAAATTCAATATTCATTGATTTCGTCAGGCAGTGAGATGATTGTTTTAACATTACTAGATCATTTAAAACATTGGTATTGCATCTATAGTAGGATTTATACGCTTCTACTAACAGTCTCTTAGTGTAGTAAAATGATAAATTGTTCCAGCCTTTCAATTTATTTAATTGATCAGCATTCGAATTCCTTGAAAGTTTAAAAATAAGTTTAGAAGCTCGTATATGAGCACGCTCAAGATCATCCATTAGTGCAGGTGAGCAGCAACCCCATACTAGTATTCCATATAAGACACTTGGAAGTACAGTCCTAAAATAAATGGTCTGTAGAATGGATGATGGCAAGAATTTAATTCTTCTGAGGACTGCTATTTTCTTATTAAAAGATTTTAACAGACTTTTGGTGTGTTCTTGCCAAGAAAGATTACTTTTCATAGTTACTCCTAGACATTTACATGATGATTTTAATTCAATAAATTTTTCACCATACTTTAAAGGCAACAATGGACCAATGAATCTTTGTTTAGATAATAATAAGGCTTCTGACTTAGTTTCATGAGCAATCAATCTGTTAGCACCACACCAACTAAGATTTTGATCTAGTATAACTTGCATGGCCTTAATTATAGTATCAATATTATCACTTATGGTAAATATGGTAGTATCATCAGCAAACATATAAAGTTCTCCCGAGGTTACAGATTCAGGAAAGTCATTGACATAAAGGGAGAACAGTTTGGGTCCTAAGATTGACCCTTGTGGTACTCCAAACTTGATAAAGCTAGTGTCTGATTTCACTTCATTAACTTGAACAAATTGGTTACGATTTAACAGGTAGCTTCCCATCCAAGATAGTAAATTTCCTGATATACCAACAGCTTTCAACTTTTGTAATAGGATGGTATGGTTCACCGAGTCAAAGGCCTTCCTGAAGTCAATAAACAGAACACCAACTTTAAGATTATTATCTAGGGCCCACTTCCAAGTGTCAGTAAGATGAAGAAGGAGACCCTCTGTAGAATGATTCTTGCAAAAGCCCCATTGATTGTCACTAAGCAGGTTCTGAGTTTCAATGTGATTGTCTATGCTGTTGCTTATTATGTCTTCAAGAATCTTTCCTGGGATACTTAATCACACCGGCACCGAACGTACTTTCAAATCTAACGGTCAAGTGTTAGCCAAGCTTGTTTCACTTAAGGATCGTTTGGCCGATCTACCTCCTGAGTCTGAGACGTTTTCAATTCTTGACGAAACCGTAGAGCTATTACAGGAACGTAACCACAAGATACAGATCGCAGATTCGTCGGAGGCCCGTTGGTTGACTGTTAAACACTACGAATCTAATCCCGTCTCGTTGAGCGAGGACGACGACAAGAAAATTCGCGCTGCAGAGAGGCAGACTCTGAGGGATCAAGCTCGACAAAGAAAGAAGGGTAATGTTGAGGGATTTGCGGTCCGAAATCGTCAAGCTCAACCTTTCTTCTCCCCTTACTTAAGGCAGTTCAACGGGAACCAGCGTTCTTGGCAATCTTCACAGCCGTTCGCTTCCTCTTCGACAACCCAACACAGTTTCACCACTAACCGTGAATTCACCCGAGGGCCTTGTCGATACTGCGGTTCTTCAAGCCACTGGTGGAAGGAGTGCCCGGTCCGCCTCGCAAGGTTTCACGTCGGCTGTTCATCCAGCTAGCTGCCAGCTAGTTCCACAGGCGCCGTTAACCGTCCCTGAAAATTCTTTTACGGCGTCTTTACAGCAGGAGGCTTCCGGCACTCTAATCGTTCACTATTCAGCTTCGCATTCTGGCTCGAAGGCGGGTGATGTCAACGCCCGCGTGGAGGAGGAGTTTGCTGACTTACTCTCACAAGATAAGTACTGTTTCGACTCTGAATACGAACAATGTTTGTCCTCTCATGGTTTTGAGTATAAGCAGGGGTCAGCGCCCATAGTTTATAAGGATAGGCTCAGGACCAAGGTTGATTTTTGGGTTAGTATCGGTTCCTCCCCTTGGGTTCTTTACATCATCCGTTTCGGTTATCGCATTCCTTTTATTTCATGGCCTCCTAGAGCTTTTTTCTGTAACAATAGGTCTGCCTTAGATCACGCCAATTTTGTTAACAGTGCTATTTCTGATCTGCTTCTTGCGGGTTCCGTTATCGAAGTTTTTACGCCTCCCACGGTTGTCAATCCTTTAACGGCATCCATTAACTCTGTGCGAAAGCGCCGCCTTATTCTTGACCTCCGTCATGTCAATAAGTTTATTCCTAAAGTTAAGTTTAAAATGTGACCCTATTTGGGAAAACCGGGCTTAACGAAATTTGCGTTGAAAAGCATTTCAACGCATTTTGAATGCGTTACAATGCATTGAAACGGATTCCAATGATTCTCAACGCATTTACAACGTTTTCCTTCAAACGGAAGCAATTTTTTTCAACGTTTTAAAATGTTTTTCCAACGTTTTAGAATGTTTTTCCAACGTTGTTCAATGCATTGGCAATGCTTCCAAACGTTTTTTATCGATAAAATTAGTTCCTGAAGTTCAACCCAGGATGCGAAAAATTATCATTGATTGAAGCCACTGATGATTAGACATC